ATGAAAATGCGGTGCTTGTCAGAAAGGGTTGTGCTATTTATTAGCTGACATCAGGAGCCGCACTCTGACGACTAAAGTAGGTGTGTTTATTGGAATGCCAGTAAATTTTCATTAGGGCATCCATGTACACTGTTCTTTCTGTGAATAATTCTTTTGCCAAATGGAAAATAAACACTTTTTCTTTTCACAAGTTAGAATTTCTAAATTCTTGAGTTTCATATAAGAGGGAATTGCTAGGGTTCATCCTAGTCATAGTAATATTTACTAAGGGAAAATATTTTTTTGAAAGACAGAATCTTTGGATAACTGTAAGGTTAAGTAAATTATCAGACCCGCTAACTATGTAAATTAGCTATGAAATTTTTATATGATGTTTCCATATTCACTTAGGTGGGTTAAGGTAGTCAATAGGTTTATGATTACCCTCCCGAGCCACGCCAAAACAAGACAGGGTTATTGCCACTGCTGTGTTCACTGTTCGAGTTACTTCTTCTGGTGTCTTCCCCAGAGATGGGTTCACTTCCATTATATCTAATCCCGAGAGTAGCCCTGTAATAACACAGAAATAATTGATTAAATAGTTGAAATTTTCAATTCCGTACAGTCTGACTTGAAGTATTATCCAGGAGTGTAAGTAATGTCCAACAAAAGACATTTGAGTGGCTGCATCTTGTGATGGGCATTCTAGAAGTGTCCGTTGGGGCTTGCAGTTCAGATCTAGGAGATCTAAATACATGTTCTTTAGCCACTCAGATTTTACCTACCTGTTTTGTAAATTTCCTCTGTGATGTAAAGACCTTCTCTATAAGACAGGCCTCCTGGGACCGGTGTGCCCGTAGCAGGTGTGAAAGCCGGGTCCAGTCCGTCAACGTCAAAACTCAGGTGAATTGGTCTTTTCTTTCTTTTAAGAGGTGGGAAAGGAAGTTAGCTTAAGTTTGTAGTTTAATGTTTAATAGATAAATATAGCTCTTATTTTAAAGAACGTGACCCAGTGAAGGTCTATAATTTTACAAATGGGCTGTATTAGTAACATATTGACTTGTGGCAGCAGCCAGTCTGCTCTAATTTTTGTTCTTCACACACATGCGCGTCATACCTTCCTATTAGATAGCTGAGTGTTTCTTCCATCACTTTGCCAATTCCCATTCTATCCACTTCAGTCATTGAGAAGAATTTAATACCCAGAGTTTTCAAAATGTAGCTATAAGGGAAGAAATATTAAGATAGTCCAAATTTAATAAAGAAATTGACTCCATACCTTCATTTTCTGTTAAAGATCAATATGGTACAAAGCATACATAAAATATTTATGTTCTGTGAAGTGTGTATATATTGGTATATATGTATATCTATATGTTTCAACAGCTGGTTAGTTAAGATAAAAATCAGAGTACACAGATAGGCATTTCATAAATTTAGTATTTATGACTTTATGCATAATATTAGATAATAGAGGGTGAATCGATTATAGAGGGTAAGTAGGAAGGTTGGTAGATAGTTGATTCATAGATAGAAACTTGGCACTTAAAATAAGTTCTAAGTTTGATCAGCAAAGCACACTTCATACACAAAATGATGATGAAGAAATAAACCTACTGTTCTCCAGGGTCCACATCTCTCAGGCCAATATACACAATGTCTTTGGCAGATAGGCAGGGAGTCACCCAGGAGAATCCTGGTATATCAGGGATCTAAATAATCACAATATTTCCAGTTATATTTATTTCTCTTGAAGGAAACTTGCACTGAAAATTAAAGACATTTCTTGGACTGTCCATACACTTACAACATACATTTTGAAGAAATCATAATACAGTGCCTCCCTTTAGTACCCTTGAGTGCTATGGCCTTTCCCAGCCTCACCCTGTGGCCCGCACCAACCCGGGTCAGTTGTCAGTGTTGATGGACTCTGTGCTCCATTTTCACTGGATTCTGCTTTCTCAAACTTCAGGTAAGGCAATCTATGTGTTTCTATTACTTATACAACTTCCTTCTTTACTTCTTTGTTACTTCTAAGTCAATAAAGACTTAATCCAGAGGATGACTTATAATTACTGAGGGAAATTTTTTACCAGACCTTCAGTTTTCACATTTCCTACCAAGCTTGGCAGTTTTCACATGCTCCTAAACACTTTGCAAGTTTATAAATCTATCATTTGGTCACCAGTTCAAAAAGTATACTCCTGAGCATTTAACATAAGGCGGTTTGAATCCTCAAGTAACATAAATCCTTAAGTACCAATACCAGCTGTATTGGTACACTACAGTATACCTATATAATCTGGAGTTTCATCTTGCATCTTTTGAAAGAAGTTTGTACACAGGGAGCAAGAAGGTGGTTCTTCATCTAATGATTTATTATATGTACTTCTCCCCGTAAAGATTCTAAATTACCAACTTTGCAGTCTTCATTTAGAATCCCCTTTTTGCAAAGGCCCTATTGATGTGGGGAAGAGACTTGGTAAAATGAGAGGCTGTGGAGAGCTGGTGGGAAGAAGTAGGCATTAGGAAACCAATTCAAGCCCTTGCCAGGTTACATGTTTGATGTTGAGATCCCGCTGTCCTAAAGGGAGCTGGAGTTTTCTGAGAGTTGTTTACTCTGTTTACTCTACATATGGAGTGCAAGGCGGTTAGACGTTCTGCAAACAGAACTTCTTCCCATAATTGACTCCTGTTCTCCGAGGACATGCTTGTGTGCATGTTCCCTGCTAACTAGAAAAACTTGTTTCAGCAGTAACATTAATTTATATAAGCACAAACACAATTACGTGCTATTTTCTCAGTCCTTTGTTTATATCTTTAATAAAAACGTGGGCTGGGAGAGTAAACAGCAGAGCTGTTCTTGATGGCTCTTTCCCCAGCACCCCCTGCTGAAAAATCATTTAGAAACAAGTCTTTGCTAATAGCTGAGAAAATCATCAGCTGTCTGGCTATCCATGGCAGTCTGACATGCAATCTTGGGCAAATTAGTTAACCTCTGAACCTCTGCTAACCTGCTTATAAACGATTATTATCTGTTCCATCTACTGAATAGATAGTTTAAAAATCAAAAAAGACAACTGATGTCAAGTCACTCTGAAAACTAAAGTACACCTTTATCTGCTAATGCTTTGTTTACTGGCTGCAGAGATGGTTTGATGGTCTACCAAGCATAAGAAGGCACAGAGGCCCTTACTTCCCTTCCACCTCTGAACCTCTGCTGAAGAATATTCTTTTTCAATGGAATATCAGAAAGTCTTTACCTTGCCCTTTAGTTCCTTCAGGAGGAAAGACACAGGCTGTCCATGTAAGTTCCCACTTGAGGTGGTCTGTGGAGTATTGATGTCGGAGTGAGCATCTACCCAGACCACACAGAGATCAGGGTGCACCTTAGCATGGCCAGAGATGCTTCCAATAGCCAAACTTTAAGGGAACAGAAGTTTATGTTAACATCAGATTTGCAATTTCATTACAGACATGACCTTACTAATTAATGCTCACATTTGATTGCCCTTGATGTCAAAGTAGCCAGGTTCCTGATAGGTTTTAGATTAGATATGCCAATTAAGCAACATTTTCATTGATAAGGTATAGTTTGTACTTTATACTTACTAGCAAGTTGTAACTATATCAATGACATTACTAAAATTTGCAATTTTTTTCTAAACCACCTTCTAATAAAATTGCAAATTATAGTTTAACCAAATATTAAATGTGTATAAAAGTACTGATCACATAAATACTTGGCAATTCAATTTTCAGAGTTAAATTAGGCTCCTCTTCTGCAGTCTTATCTCTCTTGGTAAATACTTAATTCTCCCAAATGAATTTGAGAGAGCTCATCCACTTTTCTTTAAATTAAACTCTTTGACAAAGGAGGATGTCACTCAGAAATTCTCATGTCCATTTCAGCCAGCATATCCCAGTATTCCTTCACTGTTCAATGCTCAGACCTTCTGCTTGAACTTCCCACTCTCCTGCCACTCAATGGAAGATAAACTGTAGCCAGGTCCAGGCTCTCAAAGTTCACCTCCAACGCTCCATGCTGCAGATATGTTACCAAAATAGAAGCAAATAATATCTTTTACAAAAGTGGAAAGACTAGAATTGCCATACAATGCCTGTCTCTTCCCACTCAGGAATGTTCAAGGATCATTAAGAGAATGAGGTACTTGTCTAAGTGGAGTCCATTATGTCTTGATGGTCAGATAGTGAATGATTATTCAGTTTCATGCTTCCTTTCCCTTCACAATCCTTATTTTTGGTCATTCACCACACTTAAAATTTCCACCTACAAATTTAAATAAAATGACCCCTACTCTCTCATTAGCATTGTAATTACGGAAACCCTGGTAAATTTGACTTTAGAGGAGAAAAAAGGGGTTGACACAATAGACTCTTGCATCAAAAGCAATTGTGATGCTTGTATTCAGGATCCACTCATACTTTTGGTAACATATACTGGAACCTTCACAGTAAACAGTAAAAAGATGCAGCCACAAAAATCACCTTCACTATATTATTTAAAATGGTGAAAATTTTCAAATGACCTGAGTATCTGACAATGTGGATATGGATATATTGCCTACTGGTGGAAAATTATGCAGCAATAAATTGTGTTTATATGTAATTGTAAAGTAATAAATTTATACTGTGCAATAAAGACAAAAAAGTAGAATAACACACACATAATTGTTAAAGTCATGAACGAGGAAAAAAATATGGCAAGTTTTTTATTCTGGTTGAAACTGTTACTAGGGGGAAAAAATCACTGTTTTGTGTGTGTTTCAAATTTTTATAATTATTTTTACCCTGGAAAGCACATTCTTTTAAATGTTTAGTTAAATGAGTTTTTTCCATTATCACTAATCAGGTGATTACAACAAATGAACTGTGTATTTCCTCAGGTTTTATTTATTTAGGTAAGAAAACCTGGGTTGAAGATTTTACTGAAATCTAGTCATAATTTATGTATTTTCTTCTGTAATAAAGGTACTTTAAAACTTCAAATAAAGCTACCTAGTTTTCCAAAATAAATTAATAATCTATAAAATTGTAAAAAGACAATAAATATGCTATTAAATAATGATCATTGTTTTCCCTTCCACACTTTTCTCCCTTCTGGTTTTGATTATATTTCTTGTAACAATTTATACCAGACTCGCAAGAAATAATCATTCAACAAGACCTGTGGTCTCCACCCAGAACCAGGCTGATCCTTCCATTCTTCTTCACATCTGTCACCACGCCAGCCAGCTGCTCATTTGCTTTTCCCACAGACCGTGGATTCTTCATTATTTGAAAGGGACTGTCATTAGGGACATCAGCAAAGGGCAGGTCCCCATAATCTTTCACATCACATTCTATAATGAAGAGTAAAAATATCAGGTTGCTAAGGGGAGAAAAAAAGATTACTAAATAGTTTGCACAAGTTGATTCCAAATTTGTAAAGAGGTTCATTTTCTGAAGTGGAGGCTGAGGTGGAGCCCGTAAGGGTAGAAATCACGTCTACTTTTGCAGGGATCATCTCACCAGCACTGAACACAGTTGGTGCCTACTGTCAGTTCTCAAATGGATCCAGTTAGAACAGACACCATCATAGAACAGCGGTAACCTTTCGAGGTGGAACTAATGGGTGATGTCACTATTTTTGTCTCTCTGCTTATGTGCTTTCTGCTTTTCCACAACAAACATATTTTAGATCTATAATAAATAAATAGTTAAAATGGAGAGAATACATATGTTCTACACTTTCTCTGCTCTCAGTTCTTGGTTTCAGTTCATTTGTCACCTGAAATTTCTCCTCTGTCCATTAGATCTGTCTCATAATTAAGAACATGTACTTAGCACTGAGCCTAATACTTTGGAAAGATCAGGAAATAAAGGATTTATTCTTACACTTTTTAAATAAGGAGAAATTACAGGTAGTTTAAATCTCTAAAGTACCCAGGTGTACCTCCGAAAAGCCCTCCTTAGATTTCAAGTTACAAAATTTCATATAAAACTGAGAGGTGGGCCAGTTCAGTGTTCAGAACTCACCAGTCAAACACTGTGCTTATTGTCTATTTCCATAATTCACTAACACCTTCAAGAGATTTAACCTGACATAAAATATAGACAAGATATGCTTGTGAACTGACAGGTTAGTCTAATCCCTTCGTGCTTCTGTTCTCTGTTGTAATCTTTTATTTTTTTAGCTTTATGAAGTATAACTCTTACTAAAATTTACTCACTTTAAACATGAGGTCCATGAATTTTAGAACGATTTACAGTCTTTCAACTCCACCATAATCAAGAATATAAACTTCCATTACCCCCCCCAAATTTCCTTATACCCTTTGCAGTCATTCCCTACCCCATCCCCAGGCACTGCTCATATGCTTCTATATTTTTTAGAATCTTATGTACATACAAAGTATGCCATCTTGTTTCTGGTCTCTCTCAATATGTGTTTGCCTTGTCAGGAGTTTGTGCCTCCTTATAGCTGAACACCACCACAGTAAGGAGGTACAACTCTCTATTTATCCACTGAGCAGTAAATGGACATTTGGACATTTCTATTTCAGAGTTCCTATTTAAAAAACCCTGCCAAACACATTCAAGTACAAGTCTTTGTTTGGACCTATGTTTTAAGTTCTCCTGGGTAAATCCCTAGAGGAGTACATTGCTGGGTCAAAAGGTGAATGCATGTTTATTAAAAGACTACCAAGCTGCTCTCCAAAGAGGTCTGCATTTGCACCAGACACATGGCGGCCTCAGTGGGGGCTTTATATCTAAAGGCACTTGCTTTAGCCTATAATTCTATGACACACGTCACTTTCATTTGCTTGCTCATGAGTATGTATGTAAGCCAATGCACACATCTGCACTATGAAAACACCAAACATTCCTATTACTATTGTTCTATTGCATTTCCTTGCACAAATAGGGCTCCTTACTAGGAGTGTGTTCCTGTTTTCAGTCCCCTTCTGAATCCTTACTATCTTCCCAGCTCTAGTTCTTGCACTCACACTCTTAAGCTTACTGGAGAGACAAAATATCTGAGTGAGGATATTCACCCAACAATATTTATTACACATTCTCCCCACACACTACTTCTCTTTTATAGAATGTGCTGCTCAGGTTGCAGCTCTTGTCATTCTGCGTGTTATTCCAGACACACCCCACCTTAGCAGGAGACTGCTGCTTCCTTCAGAGTGGGAAGGAACTCAAATTACCTTGTTCTTTAAGTTTCTCAAGCAGACCAGCCTTTCTCAATACCACGGGGCCTCCTTCAACACCGCCTCTTGGCTGAACAATTAAAAAATAATGTAAGTCAGATATGACATCAGATGCCATAATAAGAACTCTTTCACTATTATATCCACTCTAAAGTAACTTTTTTTTTGTCCCTTGAGAACCAGAAATTTACATTATTTCATTTAATCATCACAGTACACTAAATTGAATCACTCCTATTTTAACAAGTCAGAAAGGTCATATAATTTTCCTACAAACAGTTAACAAATAGCAGAGTCTTGGGGCATATCCACATTCTTGGATTCCAAAACATGCATCTCCTCTTCCCATTACACCATCTCATCAACACATATTTTATTCACAAGCACTTTGACAGAGATAAAATAGTTTAAAAAAGAGGACTTCTGTCTTTGAGGAACTCCTAAGTGAATATAAGCCTTAGATATTTAATTTCAATTAGAGTTCATGGAGTTTTGATTCAATGCAAATTTAACATCATAACAACAAAAACAGAACCCTCATAACTCTGGTGAGGACAGAAATGTCAGGAAAACTACATTCATAGGTGACAGCTAAGCTGAGGTTTGCAACATGAGTGGTGTTCAGGAAGATACTAGAGTGATGGAGAAACTTTGCAAACCAGGAAAACAGCTTGGGCCAAGGCCAAAGAAAAAAACAAAAGAGCATAGCAGGAGAGAAACCTGCATGCAGGTCTTCACAGAAGTTAAGTTAGGGTTTTGAGGGAAAATGATCACCTAGGAGTTAAACTACAAAGACCAACCTGGTATTTCAAGTTTTGACCTGCTTAAGTACATTTGGTGGAAATTCCATTTGACTGTGTTTACATCCGGGAAGCTAACACAGTTCTTCCTTGTAAATAAGTATTCTTCCATATCTTGGGAGATTAGAGATCTACAGAAACAGTTTTTTTTTGGGGGGGGG